ACCATAATCATTTCATGCTTTCCTTTCATTCTTTTATTCATTCATTATTTTAATTAATAATAATAATCTTTATAATTTTCATCACTTTAATTACATGTAAGATATACGACGTTGAAAGAAAAGAAAAAACGGAGAGTAATGATAATTAAAAAAAAAAAAAAAAAAAAAAAAAAAGAAAACCAAAAAAAAGAAAAAAAAACAACAAAAATAGAAATAAAAATTAAAAGACAATAAAAAAAAAAAGAAAAGTCGAGGAAACAATTATTGTATCTTTTTGTTTGTTTTATATAAGAGAGAAAACATGCAACAGAGAGAGACAAACGCAACTTTGTTTCCTATATTCTCTTTCCTTTTCTTTTTTTTCTTTTTTTGTTTTCCTTTTTCGAAGAGAAAGCGAAGGGTCTTTCTGTTATTTTTCTATCTCTCGATTGGGCTACTTCAAATATTATACAATAATAATAACAACAACAACACACACAAACACACACCTGCCAATTGATCAGGATTGAACGGATGACGGTGAGTTGTGTTATTTTCTTTTAGTGTGTTAATCCAATTTCGGTCTTATTGTTTTTCATTTCCCTTCTTCGTTTTCTTCTTCTACTTTTTATTTTTATTTTATTTCCTCTTTTTTTTTTTTTTCTTTTTTTTTTTTTACTTCGTTCACCATGATCTAAAAAAATTTTTTATTCTTTTCCTATGAGAAGAGAGAATGTGCACAGATTGAAGAGAACGGCGGCCACGTTTGTTCGTTCGTTCGTATCTTTTCATTTTAATATCAATCGAAATATTATTTCATTCTATTTTTCCTTTCGTCGTTTTCGTTAAATTACATTCGCAAAAAAAGTCCGTATTTTTGTTAGTTTGTTTGTTTGTTTCCTCGTACTCTCTTCTTATATATCCTTCGTCAAAATTAAAAAAAGAGATAAAAAGTCATCGGAAAGAGAGAACGGACTAAAATATTATTTTGTAAGATTTGAAAGATTTTCTTTTCTTTCGATTATTCTAATAAAAAAAAAGGATAATAATAAAATCGATTGCGAGAACGTAGTGCGTGTTGCAATTGAACGGCTTTTAAGGACACATTACGAGAACAACAAAAATTAGAATTGGAGACAATTTTGGAAGACGAGTATTTCTTTTTTTCTTTTCGAACACCAAGCGAGCTCGTGAATGTCAAAAAATAAAATAAAATTATGCGAGAGACTCAGTCTTATCTAAGAATACAGAAAAAAAAAAAAAAAAAAAAGAAAAATACAGAAATTTAATCAAAATTTCTTTGGTTTTTGTTTACTTTTTATTTAAACAAGTTGAAAATAATTATTATAACTCGCAATCGATTATATTTCATTTTATAATTGTTCTTCTTTCCTTTATCCTTTTTCTCTCTTTCTTTCTTACATTCATTTATATTTCGCTTTAATTTTTGTTGTCAATTTCTAGATGCGTTCGTCACTTATGACGATTATTATTTTTTTTTTTTTTCTTAAACTTTTTTGTTCATTATTCATTCGTCGCCTTATCGGAGTGACATTATAGATTAACTAATGTTATCGTGATACATATACATATACATATATATTATATTAAATAATA